ATAGTTTGCATGTGTAATCCTCTTATCAGGTTTTTTAGGGGCCACATTTCATTTTCATGGATAATTTTTATTACAAAATAATTTATACTATTGAATTCTTTTATTTGCAAGGATGAGACCTCTGTCTCAAGCTCACTTAAGCCGGAAAAAGTGTATATTGGTTCATATTCTAAGAATGTTGGATACAGCTGGACCCAGAGGATGTATGATGTAGAGGCTGTCACTCCACACCCCAGCTTTCCTGGTCTTTTTGAGTTCTTAGTCTTGCACTGACCTTGAAGGGTAAGAAGGTCACTGCTAATATTTTGGAGCCATATGTATTTATCTCCCGGAAGAGTCTATTTGACCAGACTTGAGATTCCTCTGAACAAATGCTGTTAAGTAGAGATACATGGAACTCAGACATGTTTTGGGTATCACAATACTAGAGATGGAAAACCTGGGATACAGTGGTGGTAAAGTTCCCTCAGAAAATTAGCAGAAGCGTTCTCGTCAGAAGTAGCGTCTACTCTTAACTCTTGTGCCATCCAAGACTTATATTAGCAAAGTCAGAGTTAGACCCACTGCTAACTTTCCATAAAAGGATATATTATTACAGATCCAATAACTCATCAACTATCTCTATTTTTTTCCTTTTTAAAAATCTGTATCTTTCCACAGAAATCAAAGAAGACAAAACCATTAGGAGGAAGAACTTTCTTTTTGTAAACAATCACTCTCTGATTTCACTTTATTGTCTTAAATGTTTGATTTCTTCCAAAGAAGTCACCCAGACCTGCTGTTTGGCTTGTGACTTGAGTCTACTTGCTGTGAAGAACTTTTCAAGTAGGGCCTAACGTTTTATTTCTGCTCCTTCTGGTTGATCCCATATTCAGCTGAGCGTAGGTGTTCAGGAAGGCTGTGTAGCATGAATCAGCAAGTGACAGTTGACCTGGACCTGAATGGTCATGGGAGCCCAGGTTCTTTAGAGTTAGGTGACTGAGGTTGCACAGCACAGTGCGTTGAAGTAGACTATGAACCTGGTTATATTCCCATTTCCAATTTAGGCTTTCATTAAAATAATTTTTTAGTTTTATTTGTGTGTGTGTACCTCTGTGTATCTCTGTGTGCGTATATGTGCATGCAAGTGTGGATTCCCACAGAGGCCAGAAGAGGGCATCAGATCTCCTGGATCTGAAATCAGGGGCAGTTGTGACATACCTCACCCTTTTTCTCTGGAAGAGCAGCTAGAGCTCTTATCAACTGAAGCGTCTCTCCAATCCTGCACTTTCCTTTTGTCTGTTTCTTTCTTTTACTTGGCTCCACTGCCAAATAATCACGAGACAGTAAAAGTGCCTGTCTGCAGCTTCTAGTACCCTGCGTGCTATGATTGAGTTGGTGTGCAGTGGGATTTGGTCCTGTGATAAGGATAGTAGGGCCATGAAGACTGTCTAGGTAGTGTGGCTATCCTGCCCTCCTGAGAAGGGAGTCACTGTTAGCACATCTCCAGGAACTCCGTGTGTGGCAGAAGCCAGAGTGGGATGATCTTTGGCTTCTTGGCTTTCTCCTGGAGTCTCAGCTTCATGACAGAAGAGATCCACAGATTCCTGCTTCCTCTTTCTCCTTGGGCTCTTTTATCCGCATCCCTTGGCCCAGTTTTTTCCTACAGAGATAATCCAGCTTCAGCTGCTTATTCTTCGGACAGCTCATATCACCCAGGAGTTCCAAACTCTATACCTCTATCAGACAGAAATGAATTAGGAGCCACACAGAAACCCTCAGATTAACATGGAAACTTGCTCTTTCCACCCCTTCCCATTTCTTCCCGTTCTTTGCCTTCTGTTCACCCCTTACCTCTTCTCTCTTCACCTCTGCCAATCCCTTGTTTACTGCCGTTTCATCTCCCCTCCCTCCCTCCTTTCCTTCCTCCATTTTTTTCTTTTCTTCCTTCTTACCTGCATTATGCTCTGGAAAATATAAGGCTCTCCTGTTTTAAAAAAATCTTATCAGAGCTGATCACTTGGTTTCCTGAAAGGTGGCTTTATCCACCAGGTTTCAACCAGGGGCACAGAACTAGGAGATTATGTATTTTTTTTTTTCAAAGAAAGTAGCTTTTGCAATCATGGGAGCTGGCTCAGTAAACCAGAGTTTGAGATGATAAGGTACACTATCAGGAGGAGTGGGCCCACCAGGTTTCAACCAGGGGCACAGAACTAGGAGATTATGTATTTTTTTTTTCAAAGAAAGTAGCTTTTGCAATCATGGGAGCTGGCTCAGCAAACCAGAGTTTGAGATGATAAGGTACACTATCAGGAGGAGTGGGCTGGGACTGTCAGATGTAGGCTATGCTGGGATCCTTAGCAGGAATATTCTTCCTCTTCAGGGAAGCCTGAGCTCAGCACTTACAGGTCTATCATCAGACTGAACCAACCCTATCTGAGTTGTCAAGGACTGTCTGTCTTACCTCAAACCAACTGATAATGAACTTTAACCACATCTGCCAAAGACCTGCACAGCAGCACCCATGTTCATGGCAGGTTCAATAAGGCACTGTGGCCTAGACAAGTTGGCACATATATCTGTCCACCGCAGTGACCGTTTGGAGTTCTAGTCCTCACCTGAGGACTCATGAAATACAGCCTTTGTCCTAATATGAATTTCAAAGCCTCTGAACCTTTATACTGAATTGTATGGACTTCTTAAAAGAATATTTTGGGCAACTTATTCTTAGGCAAATCTACTTGTAAATGTATGTTATTTATTTCAGCATTGTGTTTGTTTCAGAAAGAACAACTTGGATGAGGTAGCAAGTATATAAGTCTATACACCTCGATTTAAGATCAGTATATTCCTCAGACCTCTGTGGTGTGCGAGGTGTGGCTTTAGGCCTGTGGATGTTTCACGAACTAAAACAGCTTTCGCTTTGTGGTGCTTATGTTCTAAGGGAAGACACTAAGTAATCAACATAGCTGCAAACTTGTAGCGGTGATAAGTTGTGGTAAGTGATAAGAATATTAAGCGGGAGGAGAGAGAGCGGTGAGTGCGCATGTGCAGACCTATCTATGCACTTTGCAGGCTTCGGTGCAAAATGCAAACAGTGTTTCTTAATTGGAACACGGGAAAAATAAAGCCTTCTGCTTTGTTCATGAATCTCTTTTTGGAAAAGTCATGGTGTTTTAATATCATTATTTTCTATTTCATGATGCATTAAGCAAAGAAGAACAAGAAGATGTAGATGACTGCCATGAACTTCCCCGTGCGATGGCCATTTCAGTACAGAGGCCGGAGTGGAGCAGGAGAAGTTCTGCAGGTTACGCTTCCTTGTTTGTGCAGAATTTTTATTCATCAGAAAAATTAAAATGCTGCCTGAAGCTCTTTCCTGTTTTTATTCACTTCTCAGCACACGCACATGATACTTCATCCTGGGCCCTGTGCTGCGGGGGGTAAGGAGGAAGGAGAAGCAGCTGTGGTCGCCTTGCCGTCCCTTTCTTTCTGTGCTGCTATTTTCGATGCAAGTGTTTGCCAGATACAATGAAATAATGCAAGAGGGAAGCTCTAGAGAGGACTCCTTGATGAAGGTTGTCTTTGCATTTGCAGAAAATTCTGGCTCCCGCGGTGGCCTCTTGGGCTGTCAGCGCCCAGGCGTCCTCTATCACAGGTTCAACTTCTTTCTCACGCTCACCTTGACTCTTGATGAATCCTAGGTTTCATGACTCCATCAGAATTCTTTGTCATGAGCCATCATGGATGCAGTAGGTAGCAAGGACTGGGAAGGTGCATACTGTAACATGTGGTCTCACAAGCATGCTCCACTCTGCCATTCAACTTCACTTGTAAAACGCAAGCTCAAAGATAAAATGGCTAAGAATTTTGAAACGAGTAACTAACCCAAGCAAGAAGTTCTGTGAATGTGTGGCTGTCCTGATCATGGAGTTCTGTGTGACTGCTCAAGTTGCATGCCCATGAATGTGTGTGTGTGTGTGAGCGCGCGCTCACACCTGTATGTGTGTTCATGTATGGAGACACTCTTTTTTAAATTTATTTTTATTTTGTGTGTATGAGTGTTATGTCTCCATGTGTATAAGGGCAACTGTGTTGTGTACTACCTACAGAGGACAGAAGAGGATGTGGGATCCCCTGGAACTGGGGTTATGGGTGGTTGTTAGCCACCATGTGGGTGCTAACCCAGGTCTTCTACAAGAGCAGCTCTTAACTGCTGAGCCATCTCTCCAGCCCCTGCATATGGTCTTTTTAATAGTGCTGATAAGCGGGAATATTTGATTGAGGCCTTCTCGAAGGTGAGGAAGACAGCTTCACAGATGCCTAGAGCAGGAGAAGCATGTTTAGAGGTTCTAAGACACGTGTGTCTTTGGTATGGTCTCAGAAGATTAAGGATGCCGCTGTGGCTGGATCCGCACATGAGAGGGTCAGGACGGGGGGATGACATGAAGAAGGCAGTGGGTCTCTCAACTGGCAAAACTTCAACTACCAAGGTAGGGGCTTTGGATTTGCCTATGAGGAGATGAGGACACTTAGGACAGGTTGAGTGCAGGCACTGCACACCACAGCTGGAGTTTAGCGAGAGCCCTTTGTCTTCTCTATGGCGACACTGTCTCTAGGGAGAGCATTGGCTTCTCATACGGTCTTCTAGGTATCCTCGGCCTTTCCTCCTCTGAGCTCCTGTGTCCTTTCCAGTTGTCTTCCCTGATGTAGCTGAATCTGCATGGATTCCACCTGAAGGAATTTATCCATGTGACACCTTAGAAAACATTCTCAGAACAGAAGGTGCTGGGCGAGATGACTCCACCGTGAACATGCATCTTTATTGTCTCTGAGGGGACTGGCTGTTCCATAGCTTCATCTTCTTCAGATTTTGCCTTCAGTTTAATAACTACCTCTTGGCCTCGCTTACTAAGACAGAGTTATGAAGGCAAAGCATTTCCTGCGAAGTTTGATGCGTAGTTCCATCTCATACACCTCCAAGTGATTTAACGCTCTTGGCTTATTTTTCTGCTTTTCAGCACTTTCAGACCATGCTGAAGTCTAAGTTGAATGTCCTCACACTGAAAAAGGAACCTATACCAGCAGTCATCTTCCACGAGCCGGAGGCCATTGAGCTGTGCACCACCACACCGTTGATGAAGACGAGGACTCACAGTGGCTGCAAGGTACAGGCCATGTGGCCAGACTTCTCCTGGGGGGCACAGACGAATGATGGGTGGCGTGAGGATTTTGTTCCAGAATGGTATCCTCTTTTAGGAATTCAAGTCTAAAATGACTGACAAGCTTACTGAGTGATGCCAGTGTGGACTCACAACCTGCTTTTTTTCCATGTGTTTGGACAGTCGTCATCATTTTGGGGGCACATATTAAAAGCAGGTTTTTGTACATTGTTTATTCTCACTGTATATTTAGAAGTTGTATGGAACTTTGAGCTTTGCGAGGGAAGTTTTATCCTTCTTTAATATTTAAGTTTTATTTTTATTTATGTGTATTTGTGTGTGTGTTTGTGTGAATGTATGTGCCCATGCATGCGTATGCTCATGGAGGCCAGAAGAGGGTATCACCTGATTTCCTAGCATTGAAGTTACAGGCAGTTTTGAGCTGCCTACTGGAGGTGTTGGCAACTGAACCCAGGTCCTCTGCAAGAGTTGCAAGTGCTTTTAAGCACTGAGCTGTCTCTCCAGCCCCCAGGAAGTTTGTCTTTAATGATAATTCCTCTGTTGTATTTGCAGTCTGAAATCCTATCCCACCCCAAAGCAAAGCAAAACAAAACCATTTTTTCCAGTACTTACACTTTCTGAGTCCCTATGGAGGTAATTTTGCATTTTTGCTTTGCTTCGGCTCTCAGAATTTTTACTAATATTCATGTCATAGAATCTGTGAAAACTAGCATTTTTCATTCACGTAAACTATAATGCTGACATGGAAACCAAACTAGAAACAAAACTGTTCAATTCTGGTGGGCTTTTGGATTCTTTCTCATCCTATTCTTTTTCTTTTTTTGCTTGACTTGATGAATATAGAAATCAGTTTAGAGATAACAAAGAAAATATGTTTTATGCATAGTTGTTATCAGGCATTTGTTGAGTGGGGGAAACTATAATGAAGGGAAAGGAAAATGCAGGCCTGCATACAGATTTCTTCTAAGGCTTTTCAAGCCTCCTCTCCTGTTTCTTGTGGAGAAGCAGGTCTTGCGTAGCTGTGGTCGGGTTGGAGCCTACAGCAGCGCACAGAACCTTTCACACTTCCGCTAATGCCTTGCATACTTGCTGCATGTTCCCTGCCTGCCAGGCAGTGCACAGAACCTCTCACACTTCCGCTAATGCCTTGCATACTTGCTACATGTTCCCTGCCTGCCAGGCAGCGCACAGAACCTCTCACACTTCCGCTAATGCCTTGCATACTTGCTAATATGTTCCCTGTCTGCCAAGCTCTGGGTCAGAGTGTGGACAAGACCCACAACATCTGTATGGAATTTTAGCTGCTCATTGAGAGCCAAGGGAGGAGAAAATACATGTACACAGCATTGCCTGAGGAGACAATTTGTAATGATCTTCTGGTAATTGTTTCAGGTAGAAATAACAGGGAAGGGGGGCTGGAGAGATGGCTCAGTGGTTAAGAGCACTGACTGCTCCTGCAGATGACTTAAGTTCGATTCCTAGCACCCAATAGTGGCTAACCGCCATCTGTAACTCCAGTTCCAGGGGATCCAATGCCCTTTTCTGTCCTCCGCAGACATTGTAACACATGGGTGTACCTACCTACATGCAGGCAATATACTCATGAATATAAAATAAAAATAGTAAATAAATTTTTTTAAAAAATTGTAAAGAAAGAAAGAACAGCAAAGTAAAGGTGGTGGTTTTGGCGTATTTTGGAAAGGAAAAAGAAAACATGCCAGTGTGACTGGGAGGTGAGAATTTTTGAGTGCTGAGATCAGGTCAAATGCTGCCTTATGGTCATGCAGTGGAGTTTAGATTTTGTTCTAATTATAATAAGGATTTAGGTAAGTAAGATAAAACTTTTTTTTCATTTAGAAAAAAAGATTTTAAAGGGTAACTCTGCTAAGGTTAGACTGACAACTCTGCTTCCCAAGAGCAGCTGGCAATGGTGGCTCAGTGCTGGCTGGAGGGAGAGAATGCGTGGAATGGGCCTCAGGTCCTCTGCTCACACGATAAGGACCTAGAAAATGCTGATGACATTTGAAAGTGATGGGAGATCAAATTATTCTACAACCTTTAGAAGAATTGCTTGTGTCATTTTGAATTCTGTTCCTGTTAGAGAAGACCATGCCTTGAAGCAAGGTGAAGTTGGTAGGAGAGGTGTACGGAGGAGAGGTGTACCAGGGGAGCTGTAACAAAGAGTGGTGTACCGAGGAGAGGTGTACTGAGGGGAGAGGTATACCGAGGGGAGAGGTGTACCGAGGGGAGAGGTGTACCGAGGGGAGAGGTGTACCGAGGGGAGAGGTGTACTGAGGAGGAGAGTTTAGTTAGATGGTGTTCACAGAGTGTAATTAAAATGCAAAGGGAATTTTAAAAACACAGTTACAGAATGAAAAATCATAGCAGTTTCATCACTTATGAAATATGTGTATGTGTGTGAGAGAAGGGGGGAAATTTCTAGGAGAATAAAACCATCCTTTTTCTCTGGAAAGGAATGTCAATTCATCTTTTTTTTTTTTTTTTTTTGTGCCCTGCCTTTCTTTACTGGATAGCTTTAGTGTCAACTTGACACACCTGGGTTGAGGGAGCCTCAATTGGGGAATAGTCTTCATTGAACTGGTCTGTGCCCATGTCATGGGGCATCTTCTTGATTATTGAGTGATGTGGGAGGGTCCAGCCCACTGTGGATGGTGCCACCCCTGGGCAGGTGGGCCTGTGTTCCGTAAGAAAGAAGGCTGAGCAGGGGCCAGGGGAGCAAGCCACTAAGCAGTGTTCCTCCATGGCCAGTTCTCCAGCTCCTGCCTCCAGGTTCCTGCCCTGAGTTCCTACCTTGGGCTCCCTCAGTGATGAACTGTGACCTGGGAGATGTAAGCTGTATATACCCTTTCCTCCCCAAGTTGGTAGTAGTCAGAGTATTTTGTTACAGCAATGGAGAAACAAACCAGGGCACTTATGTTGTGTTCACTTATTTTACTTTTTAAAAAGTCATTGTGAGGACTGGAGAGATGACTGGTTAAGAGCATGGGTTAAGAGCCTCTTGCAGAGGACCTGGGTTCAATTCCCAGTGCCCACATGGTGGCTAACAACTGTCTGTAACTCCAGATCCAGGGAATGTGATGCCCTCTTCTGGGCTCCATATGTGTACATACCCACATATAGACATATACACATACACACGAATAGAAATTTTAAAAATCTTTAAAAGGGTATTGAACAAAGGAGTAGGCAAAGCCAGGGCTGTGCAGACAATCAGTACCTGTGGCCAGTTAGACAAAGGGAACTTAGCTGTGATTTCAGCTGAATCAAGGGAAGAGCTTCTGCATTTAAGGTGAAAAGCACAGTCCTTTAGGCTGTAAAAGAACTTACAAACTCCCTTGCCCTAGAAATGGTGAAGAGACAATTCCAGGCATGGAATTCCTGGAGTCAGAGATCGGGGCCAACATGTCTTGAGGTCTTGAGGTCCTTTTGAGCATTGTTTTAGCTGAAGGAAAAAACCCTGCAACATGCAATTCCCCACATTGTATATGAGCAACTTGGTACCTCTAAATTTTAATTGTAAATTCACTGGAATTGTCTTCCTTAATCTTCAAGGACAATGTCATGCTTATCCTCAAAGTCATATTCCTTTTGCTTGTTTTTTTTTTTTGAAGATTGTATCTTGGAGTTTTTGAAATTTCTCTTTAAAAAAAAATCCCCAAACATCTCCTCATTTCCCCCAGTCAGCTTCAAGAACAAAGTCCAGTGTTTCCTCTCCGCTACTTGCCAGTGAGTAACCCAGCTCACAAGATGCCAGGTGCAGAAGCAACTCTCTCTCTCTCTCTCTCTCTCTCTCTCTCTCTCTCTCTCTCTCTCTTTCTGGCTCATGAGTCCCAGGAATAATAAACATAATGCAGCCTTAATCCAGCTGCAGGGCTAGCATTTGGGAGCCTTCATCTTTACACAGAAATTGTTCACTTTTTCCTAACAGCTCTCAAGTTGTACTTGCATAACTTTTACTCTGGGAATGCAAAGAGGCAGGAAGAACCAAAAGGGGAGGGGGTGAAGGAGCTTGGGCTACAGTTAACACCAATGAGACCCTCACTCATCTCGTGTCCTGTTTCCCTCTGATCTGTATTCTCACTGGGTCCTGTGAGATAGCCTTGCCAGGCTATTCACGTTTCAGGCAGCTGGGTCTTTGTGTGTTCGCATTGCTGCCACTTTTTTTTTTTTTTTTTTTTTTCTGGAGTAGAGTGATTTAACTAGACGACTCCCTGTATCCCATTAGGATACAGACACTTCCAGGTCTACTCCTCACAGATCTGAAAACCCATGTGTGTGTGTGTGTGTGTGTGTGTGTGTGTGTGTGTGTATCATATATATATACAAAACCCTAGTGTATATGTATTTT